ATACCAAAAGACACTATCTTAATCTCTTTCATTAATATGTCCTACATAGAATATGTGTAAGTGTAGCTAATTTTTCAACCAGTTTAATTAGCATTTAATAATTTTTACACAATTCTAATGTAATGTTACTGAGTTTAAGATGGATTCAAATTGTGTGTTTGTGGATTTGTTTTTGCCTGTAATCTCCTCCCGCAGGTGGTGCTAGGGGTGACTAGAGTGTGTGTTGTCCATGTCCACAAAATTACTGAACCAGACAGAATCTGGCATCGGGTTTCGTGTTACTCGGGGTACCATGTTTGCATTCAAAAACTTTGCAGGATCAAACGTGGCCCACATAGAAGGAACTGGGGATAATGAAGAAGCTTGATCAGAACACTGGGGGCCACTTATGAATTGGGGGGGGGGGGCTTTGAACCACACAGAAGTTTGGGTATTTTGTGCTAGTACATGTAACATAATTACTACCACTTCCCTCATTTCACTTTAGGTTGTTGCTATATTTCTTTAATGGTGACACAGTAATTGTATAGAAATATTGGGGGAAAGTGTTTGATGTAAAAACTGTAAATTTTTCACCTATTGTAAATATCTTGCTTTCAACTTGTAGTATTTATTAATTGTGGAAACATTATAAAAATGAAGAAAAATGTGATATCGTGCTTTGAGGGAAGGACTAAACCTATCTGGTGGTTTTCACCCGCGTTTGTTACATTTTGTTTAGCAAAGAGTTTGTAAACATTTGTTTTATGCACTTTTGTTGGGATGCTGGAGTAAATATGTGATTTTCTGTTGTTTGTTTAACAGAGAGGTTATAAATTATGGTGAACAGTTACTCTCTGTTTAAAAACGATCTTTTGGTGTTGCAGGAGGTCAGGATTTTGACCTTAACTAAAACTATAATCACCTGATAGTTTCTCCTTAAAATATTAATTTGTTATATATGTATAAAAAATGAAATAATTATGACACAGGTTATTTTCTTTTGTCTGTTAGATTACATAAAGTGAATTATTAAGAAATAATTAAAATGTGCCATAAATTTATTTCATCTTTCTATTCATAAAGTTAAACCACCCTAACTTGTACTCTGAAAAAATATGGTGTACTTGTTATCCATATGAAAAACAATACTGGAGATACTGAGATTCATGTAAATTTAGTTATTTGTTATTCGTAGATGACACTGAGAGTAAAAAGTAGTAGGCCTACGTTAGTTACTAAGATTAAATTTGAAAAACTAGTCAATGAAATCGAAGAACAATAGGAATTTGTTTTAAAGTGGACCAATCGCGTAGAACAAGTGTTAGGGAGCATATTGTAGTAATTGACCAGTGTTGGGTCTTCTCCAAGAAAATTATTACTTGCTAGGCTCTAAAGAAATGATTGTGTATTACTTATGACAAGAATCTATTAAATACAGTCGATATTGACTACTTAGATGTTTCGTATCACTTCTGTAAGTTGTGTATCTTAGTTCTAAAAAACAAAGGGAGAACTAAAAGCAAAGAGTGAGGCACTCTTGTAGAGTTAATCTTGTATTTAACTGATGCAGACATTTTTATACAAACAACACTGCTGTTGTTATTAATTTGTGGATAATTATTGTTTTCACCTGTGCTATCTTTAAAGATTGTTAAAATGGACCCTGTACACTTACTTTAACGTAGACACTTTGTTATGCAAAAATAATTTATGCATGGAAGGATCAAAGACAGAATTCATGTTTCTCAGGAAAATGTTAGAAAATCAGATTTGTTTTTTTTTATTAACAATAGCCATTTGTTTTCAGCAATTTCCCTATTTGAAAAACTGAAGGCCTTGATTTTTAATAATCAAGTTTAAGTGCCATTTTTGTTATGATTCTGTAAAT